GAGGTCAGGCCAAGGTAAGGAATCCTCTCACTTCCTGACTCTATGCAGCCAATTTAAGGAGATGGGACAGTTACCCAAAGTGGGAATTTGGCCAGGGTGCCTGGACAGCTCCCAGAACAAAAAAGCACTCCAAAATTGTCACTATTTAGTGGTCAGGATTTTCCAAAGTAACGGCTCATCTGAAAGAGTTTTCTCCCATACATCCTGCATACAGCATTCCCAACTTCTCTGCAAGTGTCTGGGATGGCAGGGGGAGGGAGAAGAAGAGTGGGGGGAACCCCACTGATAGATTAGATCTTAAAATGACTTAAAAATTATTTGAGCATTTGGGGAGGGAGATTAAATTCACTCTAAAAACAGCAGATTGTTGGCTCCCGGTATAGAAGCATGTTTAACAATATTCATAGAAATATTGGCTCTTGTGCTAGTCCATGCCAACAGAATGTGAGAATTCGTACTCCTTTAGATGCTGGTTAGGGGGGAAATCAAAACTGATCTTTCCTGCAAAGAATAAGGCAACATAACAATTCCCTGTCTGAGCAAAGGAAATAATTCAGAATTGTGTCTTTGACTTCCTCCAGCACTGATCTCGCCATACAGATTCCTTCATGTAGATCACTGACAGTCTCTAGCTTCAGTATGCTCCTGTCCCCCACAGAAGTGGTAGGGTAAAGGAGAGAGCTTTTCTGAGGTTATTTATACACCTTAACATACCACACAGTGATGCAAGTCCCCAGAGTTTAAAAAGAAAAAAAAAAAGATTTCAAGTCTAAATAATAACAGACTGTTCACAGAGAAAATAACCATCCAATTCCCTACAGATCTCACCTCCCAGCACCTCAGTCCACACTTGGCCAGTCTCTCTAGGTGTAGCTCTCAAGTATTTCAGAGAAGCAGAGACTTCTGTGTTATCAAGGCTACAATTCTCCTTTCTCCGTCCTTAACAGCTGGATATCCCACTAGGCAGTCCTGATTTCTAAGCTTACCATTTCAGAGGAGCACGATGTTTATAGGAGGTACTGACTGACAGCCCTGAAAATCAGAAGTCCTTTTCATCTGTCAATGAGGCAGAATGCAAGCATACTGGAAATTACATCTCTGTACTGCACTATCAACCAGATTAGACAAAACCCAGTAAGCTTTTTGCACCAAATTTTAGAAAAATCACAGGCTCACAGGAAAGTAGGGCTGGAAGGGAACTCACCAGGTTATTTAGTCCAGCCCCCAGCTTTAAAGTAGTGCATTTAGGGAACATAGCCTGGGCAAAACCCTGCAAAACCATGGGTACAAGGCCTCTTGGGACCCTGAATAAAATACTAGGGCAACTAGCCCACAGTCATGGCTACAGCAGTATCACTATGGGCTAGCTCAGGGGCAAGCAATTATTTTGGGCAGAGGGCCTTTTACTGAGTTTTGTCAAGCCATGAAGGGCTGCATGACAGGCAGCCCAGGGCAGATTAATATTAATTTTCTAAATTTTTTTTAGGGGCCCTGTGGGCCGGATAGAATGGCTTGGTGAGCCACATCCAGCCCGCAGTCGCATTTTGCCCACCCCTGGGCTAGCTAGTATAAAATTAACACAGATACATCCAGAAGTTGCCACTGTGTACTACAGAGTCTCCCTTTCATGCATTCCTCCTCCAGTGTTCAACTGCCCTGACCCTTAGGGACCATTTCCACCACTGGGCAGAAGACTTAGTTTCCCTCACTCATTGTCTCTTGGCCTTTCCTTTAGGACAGTGGTTTTCAACCTGTGGTCCATGGACCCCTGGGGTGGGGAAGCTGCAGGCTACATCTAAGGGGTCTGCAAAAGATTACTATAATCAAATCAAAAATACGTGAATACCCACACTTCCCATTCAAAAGGGATCTGCACCTTCATTTGAAATGTTTAGGGGTCTGCAAATGGGGAAAAAAAAAAAAAAAGAGGTTGAAAACCACTGCTCCGGGACAAAGCAACTGCTTGAAAAGGCACAAAGCCCTTTGTAAAGTGCAGCTCTGCTTCAACAGGAAAGCTCTGTAGCAGGCTGTATATCGTTTCAGGAACTCCATCTGACATCTGCTTCACTTACATAAAGAACCGATCTGCCAGTGCCCAGAAGGAGACCTGCTGGGACATCCACTTCATCAGCAGCAAAGATTCTGCAACCAGCACTGCGTCTTCACTGGCAGAACTGGTAACTAGGCACGAACAGAAATAGAACGCAGCTACCAGAACTATCTGGGCTTTGCAGAGCTAACAAGAGCATGATGGAGAGAAGAAAGAAACTCACTGTCATGTCAATAGATAGACCAGATGAGCCTGTCAACACACAGTGAAGAAGATCTGTTAAGTGGGAAGGTGCCATTTTTAGAGTCAATGATCCTGACCATAAATGCACCAACGCCAACAGCTCCAGTTTCTGAAAGATAACTGGATTCATGGCTTTTACTCCAGGGTCTCAGGAATGTTCTGTTGGTGCAAATCAAACTAAACTCTGATCATTGCCTGAAGTTTTCCAAGCAAGGTCCCCATCAGCCAGTTTCAGCCTTTCCGAGGAATGTTGCATATTCTCCTCAACAGCTACTTGGAACCAGAGGAGCTGGGAATCTTTTACGCTCACTGAAGTCAAACGGGGTTGTGGGTATTGAGCACCTTTGCAAGTTAGGTCAGTACTGTTTGCCACAGAAATAGTATTTCCACCACCCAGTTGCATATAAAGGAGCCAAGGCTAATCGATTCTCACGGCATCTCACGAAGTGACCTTGGGTTCAAAAAAAAGCTTAAGAGCCATGTTTTTGGGTGGGGAGATGCGAGCTGAAAAAAACAGCCAATTCCCTTCAGAGCTCAAGCCAGGCAGAAGTCATCATAATCACTAATGAATAGGCTGCCACTGAGACATAGTGAAATATATCTTTTTTTATTGCTGCACACATGCTTACACATTACAATTTTTATATATATTGCTGCTCTGATACACTTTACAGTCTCCTTAATTCAACCAATGGCTAATAGTACATAAAAAGGACAGGGACAACACACAATAGGGAACAAACACAAAAAAAGGACACACAATAGAAGAAAAAAATAACTAACTGACCTCGTAATAAAATTATTTGCAACCATCAAGAATAGAGTGAGTCTGACTGGGTAAAAAATTGGTTGTATGCTAAGCGATTGCTTATCTGTGTTTCTTCATAACCCTGTTTTGCAATGGCAAGGAACTGAAAGATGCTCTGAGTGACTGGACAATCCAGTTGGGTTCAGAGGTTTTGCCCCAAAAATTGCAAGCAAAACTACAATATTTTCTGAATCTTCTTGGCATGGTGACAGTGCATGAGGAACTGCATTCCCAGGACAATTAGAAAGCCCCACTGACCTTTCATCCTGCAATAATAATATCCTTGTTGGCTCCACATTTAAAGATACAGGAATAGAAACACATCCTAGTGGTCACGTAGAAAATATTTCAGAGTAGTTCAGCTATTGTAACCCAGTCCCACACCATTGTCCTTATTTTAAAAAGTAAAGACCTCTACAGAGGAAAGTGGGAGCACGTTTCTCAACAGTTCCATTTCTGGATTTCATTCACCACCCAACTCCCAAACCCACCATGCTCTGAGGTCAAAGGCCAAGGCCATGCTTGTGCTGCTCCATCTAAGTCAATGGTCCGTGACCACTGGTGAGCAAGAAAGGGTGGCAGCATTGCAAGAAGGGGAATTTATGCAGCAGAAGTCAAGAGGAGTCAATGAACTAAAAATCAACCTGTATATATTTCATGTCATTTGTAGCAATTGAGGGAAGGGAAATACATAACTGAACTAGCCTGGTGAAGGGATTCACCATTGTGGCCTAACAAGTTTCTTAGGCAAATCTTCGAAGAACCCAGCACCTCACAAAGGGTGGGACACCACCATTCCTTCACTCGACAAAAATAAAGGTCTTAGTATCACTCGTTCCAACTCAGGTCTCAGCCAAGACACCCTTCACCAGTTCTGGTCAATTTAGCCTCGTGGAACCTCCTCATTCTGTTCTCCCCAGCTGGACGCTGAGTACAAAAGTCGAAGTGCTCCAAGCAACGAACCAAGCAGAATACAAATACATGTCACTCTTCCAAACCCAACATGCTGCAGGCTTCACCCTTGCTGAGAGCAAACCAGAAAACTCCCTGTGTTTTGACATGGGCATTGCAAACAGAAATGGAAGCAGGAACTGCTTGAACAGCTCAACGTCCTTTAAAAGATATCCTCTGTTCCCTGCCCCCAGAGATAATTGTGTTGCAGGAGAATGAATAAATATCTGGGGATTGGGAAAAGCAAATTCATAGCTGAGAACTTGTAGTTCTGCCCATCGCTCCTGACCTGGGCAGCTATTCCTGGGTTTTCATCCACAGCTCTGCCGATGCATTTCAAACCTGGCAGGCAGCACCTGCTCTTTCACCAACACTGAGCTGCTCTGGAGCAGGCTGGTAGTCAAATTCTGTGGCAACTTTATAAATCACAGCTACACCCAGATGACCCCATGCACTTTCACCAGCTACTTGAGTGGTTTCAGAAGTCAGGCCTGTGGATTCAAAAGTGTAAGGCATAAGTCACAAGACAGCACAACCCATCCTATGCAAGGGAACTTAAACCCCTTCCTGAACTTATGTTGGAAGAATGCTCCTAGAAACAGCCAGAGAAGCAGATGGGAGCCCAGATTCAATCATCTAAGCAAGCAATATCACCTCCAAACATTAAAAACACAATGACTCGTGTAATTATTATAGAACAGCCACATCCATCAGTGATGGCAGCACTGTTAGTACAAGGCTTCCTGAGCAGTTCATGCAGCCCAGTTTATTCCCTCCTACGCTTAAGATACTGCAAAAAAGCATCCTTTCCTTCTTCTGAACAATCAAGACTTTTGTAGCACATAATCCCAAAGAGCCTTGGTGACAAAGCGCTCTGCAAAATCCCTGGCAATTCTAAGTTTCCATCACTAAAACAGCTCCAAGAACAAGCCCCAATGATTTGGTGTATTTTATACAAGAACGTTGCCTGCTGCCTGGTGAGGAGAGAGAACACCCTCATCCCTCACTGGAAGGCATGGGGAGACCAGGCTCTTGAATGATAACATCATCTCCCAGGGGAAGAAGCCTCCATAAACACATTCAAGGCAGAGAGCTTCCTGAAGAACAATGAGCCTCAAGGTTTTTATAACCTAAGCAAAGTCAAAAGGTGAGACAGCAGAAGAGATGGATTGAAGCATTCTGAAAGTCTCCCTTTTCCTTTTCTAAATTACCAGCCCACCCCCTGCCTGACAAGTCTCACCTTCACCCCAACACAACAGGCCAACAGAAGTGCCAGCTCTGAGAGGAAAGGCATTTATTCCCCAAGAGAGAGGCACAAAAGGCAGAACCTCTATTTCAGTCCAAATGAAAAGCTGCTGGCTCCTTAGGAGGCTGTCTCTTTCTGCTGCGGGTCTATTTTGCACTTCTCTCAATTCCTTTTCAGAAGCTAAAACTTTTGGCTTCCAAAGCTGCACATTGTACACAATACCAGGAAAAGAAAAAACAGGAGTCCATTTGCCTTGACCAAGAATAGTGTCAATGTGCCAGAACATGGACTGAAAACCTGAATTCCCATGCACAACCCTGAGCATGCAAATCTAAGTGCCAGAGTTTGGAGGCAAGGAAAAAAAAAAAACCAAAACAAGCAGCACTGTACACTAACTTAGTTGTTTGTGCACAAAAATAGGAGCAGTGTGTGCAGACAGTTTGTGCCTCCTGTGAGAACATTCCTGTGGCCCTGGTAGGAAATGCCATTTTTTCTGCTATCACCCCAGGACAGTGAAAGGGAAAGACAAGCTGGTTATTTCTAAGAATTTCCTTCACACCAAGTTTAATCCAGTTCTGTTCCCTTGTGGGTGGTAATGGGGAAAAATGCTCTGGTTTGAACCCCCTACAGTACAACCCTGTTACCCCTACGGTTTGCAGCCACAAATCAGTGCAGAATGGTACAAGCAGTAACTGTGGAGCTGGGGCACTTTGGGATCCTATCCTGGAAAACAAACATGCAAATGTCCAGACATGAATAAGTTAAAAGGGAACCATGCCTGGCAGTGGGTGGGAAGGAGGAGAGAAATAAAGACAAATATTTGACTAAGACACAAATGTTCTTGCACTCAGAGTCCACCAGCATGGGGCCGAGTGAGCTGCTCACTGCACATGACAGGCCAGATTTCAGACTTCAGCACTCGAGCCCTATACTGGCCAGGAGGTCCTCCAGTGCCTCCAGTTTCTGGTTGGCCTCCTCGATGGCACTGTAAGTCTGCACGTTGCTGGTGATGTGGAAGCGGATGTCATCAACGAGAGGGATGGAATCCGTCTCCTGCCGTTCCTCCACCGCCTCGGCATTCTCCTTCACTGCAGCCACAAACTCCTCCAACTCCACTAGCTGGAAGGATGGAAAACAAGATGGCCATTAGGAAGCACTAGGAGGAAGATGGGGAAGTGCCCTTATGCTCTCATCAAGACAGCCAGCTGTTTTTGCAAAGGACTTTACTCAAGGGAACCAAGTCCTGTTCCCTTGTGTCAAAGGGTAAGAGCAGGAACATCAACAAGGGACAGCCTGGATAAAGCCTGTTCTGTGGCCAAAGCTACGCTGCATTAAGGCTTCAGTCTCCAGGACTGCCAAGCCTGAGATTTCCAGCCATCACTGAAATTACTCCGATCTTTCTAAAAAGAGCCTAACCGGACTTTTCAGAACAGCTGCACCCCATATGCTGCCTTCTGTAACATCCACTGAAGAGTCCCTCACCATTTACACTATTTCTGAGCATTTCCCTCACCACCAAGAGAGAACACCAGCCAAAAAAATTATGCTAAGAAAGACAAGAGCAAGAGAAGAGCTTCTGTCTATGGCAGAGACACAAGAACTGTCTGCTCTGAAACAGCACCTTATGCCTGGCCCACGCTGCACTGTTTTACCAAGAGTTTCTCATTGCTGCCAGCACCAATTCAGCTCCCCAGTAGAAAGTGCCACAGTTGTAAAGTGCTGGCTTTATAAACCCTGGGTCACCTCGACCAGCTCTGAGCGCTGCTAGACGACTCTGTACTTATAATGCTGATGCCCTCTTGTTGCCTTCACCTAGACTTAACACTGGTACTAGGAACAAATGATGGGAAAATGCTCTAAAATTCTTTTCGCAGACAAACCCCCCACAGCAAGAATCCTGTTTAATCACCAATTCTAGCACTCCTTCCTACCGGGGTCAAACAGCCCCTTCTCCCTAAAGCCAATCCTAAAACTTCACCAAGGCATTTTTCTCTCCTTTGTACCAAAATGGTACTTTTGAGCAAGGAGGAATCATTTGGAAGTTATTTTCCTTGTTGCTTCCACAGGCTAAAATGAATTTCACACCTTTCTCACAGCCTCTCAGCTGCAGGTAAAAAATGTTACAGTTCATGTGGGAGTGTTAATTAGAAACACTTATAAAACCAGTGACCTGCCTAGGCACAAATACCTAGGTAGAATCGAGTCTGTCCTTGCCATATGGAGACTCTCTGCAGAAGTCAGACTCCTGGGTCTTTGCAATCAGAAGAAACGGGCAACAGACACAAACACACAACACAGAACAACAGAGCCTTGGAAATGAAATCCCAGTATAATAAGATCTGGTAGCAATTGCTGAGGATCAGCAAACTTCTCCCAAAGGGAACTTCATATAGTAGCATAACTAAGGATGAGTGCCAAATTAAGGAGGGAGGGGCACAAAACAGCAGCCGCTCCACTGCTGCCCAGGGCACAGAGCTGCTCAGTTACTGCCGCTATAGTCCTTTGCTGGCTCTCAGGGTGCATTATTAATTCACTGCTGCATCCAGAATTAGGAAAGAGCCAAATGGAGCACAAGTCAACGCTGTTCTGAGCACACAGCTCCCCGCCGCACTCCAGGACACGTCTGATCTGCAGTCACAGTGACTCCAGTGCACAGCAGACATACCTGTACTAGATTCAGGGTTCCTAGCTTGAGTACTGGTAGCAGCCACACCTTTGTACAGACATTCAGTTTCTTCTGGGAGAATTGCTGCTCTCCAAGAAGAAACCATGAGCATACAGATGTTCAGGCAAGTAAAAAATGGCTGCTCCAAGAGAATAATAACCCAGGAACAACCAGAATTAAATCACTCCCAAGAGACTTTTCTCCTGGGAAAGCAAATGTCTGTATACACTGCAAGTTGCAGCAGCATAGGTCTCAGTGAGAGCTCCCCATCCAAATACTTACTGCGTTTCTCAGGCAGGTTCTGAGACTTGCACTGAGCGCCAAAGGCAGGCAACTAAGGCAGGTAGTTTGAAGTTAGCTGAGGTACACTGACAATGCATTTCTTCAGCACTGCCTGCAATGCCCTGTGCTATTCCTCAGCTGTCCTCCTTTCTAGGGGTTATATCAAGCCGTATGTGATGGATAATTGGCTAAGAAGGACCATGGTGATACTGCCAAATTCAATTACCTCATGGCCCAAGGGCTTCAGAAGTAGCCCTTTAAATGTGAAGCTTTAAATGTGTTTGCACACTGAATGACCAGACCCAAAACATATTAGGGAGAGATTTCAGGTACCTTCTCAATGATCTTTGCCATGTACTCCGTGCACTGGTCCTCCAGCCGGGTCAGCTGGAACAGCTTTGCAATCCTCCAGATGTTTACAACATTATCTTCGTCAAGGGTCTGAGCCAAGGTTCTCCCACACAGACGTTTGAGCCCCGGCAACAGGTACATGTCTGCTACACACAGCACCTCATAGGCATTCTCTGGAGAGAGCTGGCAATGTGAGGGAGAAAGTCATTGAAAACAGAGCTGTGCCTAGACGATGCACATCTGGCAGTTACACTTCCCTCTTCTATCCAGTTTTAAATGTAGTTTCCTGAAAGGGGAGAGGACAACCCCCAAGGCAAGCTTCACAGCCCTGAGAACTCTCCATGCTGCCATGCACGAGAAAAGACCTCACCTCCTGGACTCGTGCTTTTATTCCTCTCTCCATGGCCTGACAGGAGTCGGCGAAGCTGCAAAGGGAGCGTGGTGAAAAGGCTTGTCGCTCTGTGCCAAGCTAAGAGCAACACTGAAAGGAGTCCAATGCAGCCACCATCAAATCAAGGAAGGTCTCCCTGAATCAAGGTGCGTAAAAGAAGGAGGCTTTGACTGAAGGAGCAAAAAACCAACATACAGAGGCAAAAATAGTACTGTACTGACAGACAGCCGCCCCCTGTCACCAGAACAATGTCTCTGTGTTAGTACTGCTGGGCACTTACTGCAAGTCATTTTGAGGGTTTCCTGTTTAACAGGCTCTCCGCTAAGTCAACCAGCACGGCGCTCAGCCTGCTAAGGAGGAACAAGGGGTGAGCTAGAAAGAGGGGCTGTCATGGCCTCTACCTGGGGAGCCCCACAGCTTCACAGACACATCCTCCTCAAGCTAGTCCCTGAAAAAGGAGACTAACAAGTATGAAGCTGTGCTGCAGTTCATCTGGGGATAGGGATTTCTCAGCCGGCAATGGCAAACCATGTGTGAAGAACAGCAATCGAATGCATTAGCTTCCCATGAGCCAAGTTCACTCTCTGCAGTTCCAAATGGGTGCAACTTTGTCGTCACCCTTTTTAGAGCCCTGTATGCACTACAAAGAGCAAACCAGTATACAAAGAAAGCAGCTTCCGTTTTGCCCCTCTAAATCCTTTTTTTTTCCTGTACAGGCCCTAAAGAGAGAGCGAGAGAGAGATTTCTTTTCTTTTCAATGCAGAGTGATAAACTATGAACATGAACACTGTGGAACAAGGACTGTCTCCAGTTCTGCACCAACCAATAAGTGAGCACTACCTCAAATCAGTTACTTTCAGAGCCAGAACTAGCTAAAAATAAACTTTGGACATGAAGGAGGAGGAGGGAGCATGGAAATGTGAAAGACAGGTACTGGGGTTGTGGTACCCTGCTAGGGTCACCCTAATCCTACCTGCCCTCCCGGTCCTCTAAGTAAATCCCTCCCAATCCCCACCAGCACATCTACTAGCGCCCAGCTGGCACCGTGAGCCACAGGTCACCACCTATACCCCAAATGGCCCTTATTTAAGCCTTAAAGCTCGATTGTGGTCTCCTGCTGCCCCCATACCCATGCCTCGCAGATGTCACTTGGTCACCACCTGCCTTTCTGTATAGGCTTCAGCTTTCTTAGCCTTAGCCCACAGGTTACTCTACCTGTTGACTGATAACCGAGGCCCACTGGCTCTGGCTCTGGCCTGGACTTTCCAGTCTCAGCCTCTTGCCACCCCTTGCTCCCCTCTGGGCTCAGGTCCTGGCCCTCTCAGCCTCAGCCTGCCTGTGCCTTGCACCCCTGCCCCTGGCAGGGCTTGACCTAATGTGTCCCTCAGGCACCTTTATGGCCTCCCTTCCACCCCTACAGCCACATTGAGTCCTCTGGTACAAACTAGAACAAAACTTCAAGCAACCACTTTAAACTCAAAGTCCCCCCTCTGAGTCATCATCATACCAATGCCAGGCCACTTTCCCACCCTGGCACTACCTGCCATGCCACTTTACCACCCTGGCACTACCTGCCATGGCCTGCAGCTCCCGCTCCCCACCAGCCTGAACTGGCATGAGCAACTCTGCAGAGATCAGGGCTAAACTGCCCCTCTGCCTCAGGGACCCAAGCTTATTTCCCCTAGGCTCCTCTTTTTCTGGTCAGGTCTTCTCCTGACTAGCTGCAGGTGTGCTCCCTCATCTTCATGGGCAGCTTACTGCACCTAAGCTGCAGTTGCTTCCTTGCCACCTTCCCTCCTGCAACCAACTCCTGCTCAGCTTCCTGGGGCTCTTTCTGTTGAAGTCTCTCTCTCAAAGTAACCCAAGCCCCAGGCTCTGTTACAGGAACACAAGGCTAAATTCAGCCCAATACAAGTGGACACTGAACCACATGAAGTTTAGCAAACTGTGCCAATTTGTACCCTCACTGCATACAATGCGTGGCTGGGGTGTGCAGACACATTCCAGTAACAGGTGTTGTTGGAACAAGAGGCAACACACCCCAACAGGAGCTCAACAGCCACCATCCCCTAGTGTCCACAAATGTGGATAGGAGTCTGTGACCACTTTAATGAGAGTAACCTCAGCATGGAAGATCAAGTTAAATCCCCGACATTTGACCTTCATGCACAGGAGTTCTTTGGCTACACACACAGCCTGAAGTTTCCTACGTCTTTGGTTTTCGTTCTGCAAGTCATCTGAGGAAAGTGAATCAGGAGACAGGCAAGAAAGACATCACAGTGCTCAGCTTTACTCAGGCTTTTTTCTCTAGCTAAGCAAATCTTATTTCAACCAGTCATCTGCATCATTAACCTGGCACTGGGATTCTTTCCCGGGCAAATTTGCTACCGCTAATGTGAAAGAGATTGCAAAGACAACAGCCGGTCACTGGGGTTTGTAAAAGGATTTGCAAATAACAACAAGCACAGGCTTCAGAAAAGACCCAGTCACATTATGACTCTGGGAGCTAATGGAGAGTCTCATCTTGTTGGCTGGTACTAGAAAACCATGCACTTGCAACTCTACACGTATCTATGCTACCCTGACGTGTGCAAGCTACCCTGAGCAGCTGCTAGGCAGGCAGGGCCAGGAGCAGTGCTGCCCACACCCACATGACCACTGCAGAGTGAGACGGCACTAGGAAGACCAACTATGCCATTACAGCTACATGCATAGCCGTCCACACCAGTACTAGCCACAGACTCGGTCCAAATCAGTCTTGCAGACCTAATCAAGAATCCAGAGCACCCACCCTGCCCAGAAACATGTGCCCGAGTTGCAACATAGTCTGTTGATCCCAGATCAGTCTCATCTGCCATCTTCAGACCCACAGATAAAACAATTATACTCGATTATGAGGGATTGCCGAACAAGAAGCAGCCACAGACACATCTACTCAGAGCAAGTGTAATTGGAAGGGCAATGCAAATTCTTGTGCAGAGCTGTGCTGAAGGCTTGCAATCATTCAAATGCTAAATGTGGTAACAAAGCTCTGCAGTTCAACAAGGTCCTTTGGGGTTATTCATCAATTGCTGCTACGCACACAGGTCCCCAGATCTATGCTCACCTTGCTTGACCTGTACTTTAAAGCCATTTTTATACCTCTCCCGAGTTTATGACTTCTCCACATGAGTCTCATCTGCCACCTACCCTTCTCCTCAGGGGATTTTACTACAACCCCTGCTTGAGTTTCACTCCTACAGCAACTGCAAAGACTTTCCACGGTAACATTTTGGGAATCTAGTGAGTGGATCACAAGCATTTAAATAACTGGTTCTGAAAACAGCCATGCTCAAATAATCATTTGTTAAAGAACAAGAAAAAACAGCAACATCTCTTTTAAAGTCTCTGGTGTCTCCTGTCAAATACCCCAAGGCACTTAAATTTTTACCCAGAACCTCCCACACCAAACACACTTTTCCTTTTCACAACTTCTCATATAACCAGGGCAGGATAGGAAGAAGAAAGAAATTTAAAACCCTAAAAAAAGGAAAGGCAAAGTGAAGCAGGGAGGGGGCTCTGTTTACGCTGGTACTAGGCAGGGGAAGGGGGGAAAAAAATAACCTTGTATAAAACATAGAACTTAAATATTTAAAAGTTTTCTTGAGGATTTTTCCTGGCATGTTTCACAAAGAGATGGATTATTCACGGGAACACACATATTGCAGCACAGAAAGCTGCTGGAAGATACAAGACACGATTTTAAATCAGAGTAAACTCTTTGAGTGAACTGAACTACTGTAGAAAGGGACTTCAAGAAGTCACTTAGCTCATCGCCCTGCTTGAAGACAGAATGAGGTCAGCGAGGCAGAGGGGCAGCTCATGCTGAAAGCCCCTCTGGATGGAACAGACGCTCTGCTCCTTTACAGAAGCATTTTGCCTTGGGCAACAGCAGGTGGAAAACCAGACTCGCGTCAGTGCAGTGGCACTGGGTCTGGTTGTAGGGCTGTGCCAAGGACTCAACATGCCACAGGCTGCTCAGTACCTTTTCTACCAGCCACTTCAGAGCACAGTTGACAGGAGGTTGTGGGCAGATGTGTTAAGAGGTACCATATTTATTCAAATCTAAGATGACCCTCCCCCATAATTAGATTCTCTATATTTATAAAATTTGTAAAAATTTGTTATAATTTTCCAGTTACAGAATCTATTGGTGAGTTGCCTTGAATTCACCCCCCCGGCTGGGCAGGGGATGGATCTTCCTTGTGCTCCATGCCCAGGAGGGAATCCAAACTGAACTGTGTTTGACAGTAGGGTGGGGAAGGGAGCGTAGAGGAGCAGAAGCTGCAGAGGGCAAGCAAAGTGGGTATGGGAAGTGGAGCAAGACGCTGCCATGGGTCCGACACTGGCCCCAACCCAGGCTCAGGACCAGAGCCAAAGCTGCAGCAGCCGCCACCTGCTTCCCCACCATACGCAAATCTAAGACAAGGCTGATGGGGGTAGGTCGTTTTATATTCAAGTATATACAGTAGTTTGCAGTGACCTCCTGCCTGATAAATCACTTTCCTTCCTGCCTCAGGGCCTCCCTAGGACTACCCACTGCCAAGATAATCAGTAGGAACATGGTTGCAGCTGTGACCCTTCTCCTTACTTGGCGCATTCCCTACCAAAAGCACAGTCCACAGGGCTCCCTGTCGGAGGGGGACAACAGGTGTGCCATCATCTTCAACCATTTCAGCACTGCCCAAGCGCACCCTGGCTTCTCATGTGTAACTAGACACAGGGAAAACATTTGAAATAAAAGCACACAGCTGCTCAGAGCTTTGCTCCACTTTTAAATGAGACCACAAGCTATGGGTCTCATGTTGAGTGCAAAAAGCCTGGCACACTCGGGCCTCGCGCTCTGGCAAGAGCTTCTTCCTAGGCACCACAGCAATAAACAATAATGACATTAATGAATTGTTATGAATTCTGAAACTGGCTGCAAATGTCAAGAGGGAACAAGCCAGGTCCCCGAACCTTAGCACTTCTGTACACATGCTTACGCTGCCATCTAATGGTAAAATACTGAGCCTGCCCCTCTTTTGAGAGCAAAGTCATACAATACCATCTGCTGAGGAAATAGAGCCCTGCAAGTCCAGCCTTGTGCAGCTAGCCGAAGCAGGAAACCTCATCTACAGGTGTAGCTTGGGATGAAAAATACCCATGACATTTAGCTGCACAGTGGTTGCTCAGGAAGCCAAATGGCTGTCTAGCCCACAATATGGGCAAGGCAAGGTACTAGCAAGCAAGTGAGGAAAGTGGTATATAACCCACCAGCACCAGGGTGCTAGCAGCCGACCCTTGTGCAAGCACATTTAGGAATGCTCTGAAAGGCCAGTCTCACCTCGGTGTCATCGCTGTAAATGTAGTAGAGAACCCGTATGAAGATGTCTTCTGAGATGTCATGAAGCGTCACCACGGGGATGCTGGGCTGTGTCTGCAGCTCCTCACTCTCGCAGAAGTGATCCTCAAGAAGGGCTTTGAAGTAATCGCTGCGGCCACAGAAAAATGCCTGCTCGGGAGAGGAAACACAGTCTGATGCCAGACTCCCCTTCCACCGGACAGAGCTAAATAGCACTGGCCAGGTGCCAGCCACAAGACCCTTTCAGAACTCGGTAGCAATTTCTGAAGTACAGCACCAGTATCGCACCTGCTCCCAATGTGTCACGGTTTTACAGCAAGTCTCCAAGAACCTTCTTTTCCTCCCCCCTCAATCTTATTCTTTCATGTTTGCCCCCAGAAGCAAAAAAGAAAGAAATCTTGATCTGTCTAAAATAATAACAGAGATAGTGCTTAAGAGGGGGAGTCAGGCTTCTAGGTTGTCTTCCTACTATCACCTTAACTTGTGTGGGGTCTCTTAAGAAGAGAGACTCTCTCACTCTCAGCACTGCACCCCCCGGCCAACACAAGGAACTGGCTTTTCACTGACAGCAGATGAGAAAAAAAACTTTCCCAGCAATTAATACTTTGCTGCAATTCATAAATCCATGTCCTGTCTGCCTCCCCCACAAGGTAAGGATGTTTTCATTAGGAAAGGAACTTCAACTTTAGCTTATAGCTGCAGCAGGACACTGACTAGCTTCAATAGAAAGTCAGTGGTTTCTTTACTGGAAATACCACCTTGGACTGAACAGGGCAGAAAGATGGGTATAGACAGAGGAAATTATAATATAAGCACATGCCTTATGGCACAGGAAGTTGTATTCTGCCACTCGGAAGCACACATCAGGGCAGCTGTTGAAGTTGTCGGTGCTGTCAAATGGTAGCTCCCCAAAACCCACCTGGAAAAACAAAAGAAATGAATGTAAATGAAAATATGTATTTAACAGCCAGGGCTTAAGCAACTGATTGATGTGGAAAGCTCTGGGTGCCCTGGCTCTACTACCCATGTGACAGCAGAGATCACCTAAAAAATTCTTCCTAGCTCTTTGTCTGGGAGCGGTGCATCTGCCATTCTCAGCTCAGAGGCTTCTGAACAGAGACTTACCTCCCCCGGTTTCTTCACTTGAGAGACCTGGGGAAGGACCCTCTCTCTGACTTTTAAAGAGGCAGCAGGTTTCTGGGTAGATTGCTGCCATTTCATGAAATGGGCAGCATATACAGTAGTCAAGTAGCAGCATGTTGTTGAATTACTGCATATGCAAAAAGTGCATTTTATAGACCAAATGAATAAGTTTTCAGGTCTGAAGCAACTTGAAGATTGCAGCCACACTCAAAGCAGTACAGTGGTTTCAATGCACATTTTATGCCCCTCAAATCTGCAGTCTAAAAAAAGAAAATTTAAACTACTTCTAGGGCTGAAATACTGCAAACGACATTCCCAGTCCCACGTGCCAAGCCAGGCACGTTTAGTTTGGTGACTTGTTTTTTTCTTTTCTTCTTCTTTTTTTTTTCCAAATGATGACACTTCCCAATACAAGTTACTTCTAAATTACTCTTTCTGCCTACAAGAGAATTGAAATGCACAGCCATGAAACACAAGCCCATTATGCCCTGGGGGACATGTGGAGAGAGCTCTTTCTATTCGCTTCTATCCAGGTATATGTCCTTGAGCCGTGCATCTCTCTAAGCTACTCACACCCACAGCTGGCCCAGGGGTGTCCTCCCACACGCTGGGATGGCAAGCAAGGAAACTTCCACCTGTCTCCCACTCCTGCTACCAACCGCCAGTTCAGGTAACTGGAGTAGAACTGGTTTGGTCTGTCCCTCCCCATCCCCCAAAACCGGACTTGGAAAGGACCTGGACGGCAGCGAGGCAGCATGTCACAGAGCATTGTGTGTGCACAGCTGGTGCTCTCCCACAATGTGGCCCGGCGCTGACCTGGCACAGGCTCACAGTGTGCTTGAACATGGCAGCCTGGGCTCGCTCCGAGTACACAACACCACTTGGCACAAGCTGGTTTCTAATTATAGCACAGCTAAGCTCGGTGGCATTCACAATGCGGCTGTGGCCGACACTCCACTGCCGCTTCCCCAGAACCTGCAGCAGCCCCGCTCGGGCTCACTAGTATGCCTTTAATTGTAGCAGGTCTCTCTGGGGTGCTCCAGAGAGACCTGCATCAGTCCTGCAGCACCCCTGCTCTTTGTTCAAGAAACTAAAGATCAATATTAGAAACCTCAAGTATCCAGATTGTAGCCGTATTGGTCTAGAGGAAAAAGGCAAATCAGGACTTGGAGTAGAGATGATATACTAGAAACCTCTACACTCATTCCCCTGCCTCAGTTTCACACATGCTTTGGGCTCAGGGTCCTTTCAAACAGTTTGCAGTTTGTCATCTGCACCACGAAGTCCTGTCAGCCTAGTCTGGCTTTTCTGACTCTGGCTGGTGCCACCTCAAAGCCACCCCCTGCCCTTCAAGCCCTGCTGCAAAAGCATCCTTGTCTCTTCCCTTCTGCTGAAATCTTTCTGTGCAAGGCTTCCCCTTCTGGTCCATCTCCGAGGCCTTTTTAAACCTCTCTCATCACCTCTGCCCCACTGTCCTGTTCAGGGGATGTCCACTCTCTTAGCCAGTCCTCTGAAAAGATCTCAATCCAACGGCATTTCCCCCTCAAGGAGCTTCTTTAGCAGACCTGCTGACCACCATCAGGCAACATTAAGCATCTTTCCTGGTCCCAAGCCTGGAGAGTAGAGTCCTAGATGCCTGGCCAACAAGTCAAGAAGAGACATTCTTGAGACAGCAGTTTTCTTAGCAACAAATTGCAAAGCAAGCACCAAAAATTCAAGAACTAACACAGGTTTCTTAAATCACCACACACGGAAAGAACAAATCTCTTCCCCAAAGGAGATTGCTGCTGAAGTTCAGACAAGAACACCACTCTGAGCAACAGGCAGGGAGAAGCAATTTGCTCTATGGGGATAAACACCTCAAGCAAATTCAGTTGCAAACAGTTTACAATATAAAATCCAGGGTCTCATTATGACCTAGTAATTCATGATGAGATTGCCAACTGGTAATCTAACATCACATTTTAAAACCAGCTGCAAATTGGGTCATCAGGGTACTACGGCACAAGGTACAAATTGGTGCACCTGCAAAAGAACAAAGCAAGCCAACAAAAGCAAAACCTCCTAATAACAATCACCCTGCATTAGTCAAGGGAAAAGACTAGAGCTTTCCACCTCTAGTTTCTATGAATTCAAAAAGTTAGTGCTGTGCCCAAGAGGTAAAAGATGTTGTTGAGGCTTCATTTACTGGGCAGAGACACTACATTTTAAGGAGAACTCTGACATTGCAGAATTTGGTTTTGCTCTAAATTCGCATAGAAACCAAAGCTTTTAAAATGCTCCATGAAAGGGACTCTGAGCCTCAGACTGGAGAACTGTCATGGAGCTGCGGACCTCAGGAGCTCTGGGGTTCAGACTCTACGGCCCTCCACAGGACGGCTCAATGACAAAGGAGGTTGGCCAACTGGGAAACCAGACTGGAAACCTGTGTGGGCTCTACTGGAACTTTGTTGAAATAAAGTCTCTGCAAACTATTTTGATTCTGATGAACTGACAAATCTTTTAGAAATGTTTTGTTGGGATTTTCCCAATACGTTTTAGCTAATAACAAAAATCCCGGTTCCAAAAGCAAATAGCAACAAAAAAAGGAAAATTTCATGTACAAACAAGAATAACTACTAAAAAAAAAAAAAGACATCCAGGTTTTAACTGCATGGAAAAGGCAATTAGAAGCAGCCCCTTACATAATGGAATAGCCCCTTCATTGTATTGATCAATGAATACGTGGATGGCTAAAACAGCTTGCCAAGAAAACCAAAATTGTCATAATCACCCAAAATAGCTTCCACATCTCTGTATTCTGCAGTTTAATACCATGGAGTAAACCTAAGCAATACCACACAGCACTACAGAAGATGTCTCTTGGCAATTCTAGTAAAATGTCCTAGTTCTGCTGTCTTATATAAACAGAGTCAAACCTGTGAGAGTTCAAAGACGGAGTTTTTTCCTTAAAGGTAGAAAATATGTATTTAATGTCTTCAGCATCAGAGTATTACAGAAAAAAGACACGCACCTGAATTTCACATCATACAAAGCTGTACGCTGTCTGGCAATTCAATGCTTTGCTTTTGCAATCAGTTCTGAAGTATTGGCTACAAATACTGGCTTCTCTCACAAACACGTATTTATTATTTGGCATGTTCTGTGGAGCATTATTGAGAATCTGGAGGTTCGTGACTTTGACGTTTTAGGTCAAGGGCTTTATGTTATACCGTTTTCCCTATACCAAAGTGAGATGAGATTCCTGCCCTGGATCTGAAATGCCTACTTCACAGAAGGATCTCAGCCAGCCAAAATTTAGACAAAATCTAAGGGGTAACCAAGGTAGGTACCAATCAGATTAACTTAAACTAAAGTCCTGTTTTTTGGGGTTCTTTATAACTAGTTTGGGAGAAGGGAGGATTTTTTTCAACTTATCGAGTTGAAACAAGGCAGTTCAAGGGAACATGGTGATGGGAACAACCACAGCATCATTCCAAAACTTCATGAAAATCCACAAGTCAGGGCAGTAATACGAACAGAACATGTTTAGACTGGATTATGATCCACTTTCTTTCTGGGCTATATAAAATCAGCTGAAAAAAGTTGGAGAAACTCAACATTGCCAATTCCTATTATTTCATTTTGAATCCTGTAATAAGCAGTTCTTAAAGACCCAATACCAACTTTCCACGGGAGAACCTTGGGTTGCTTTTTTTTCTTCAGTTGAGTATTTATCAGTCAGAGGCTTGATAATGGAACCCTAGTGTTAAAGGCTCAGAGACCAAAAAGCAACTACAAATACAAAGATAACAGTTTTCTCCAAAAGCTCTGCAATTTTAAGCCCAAATCTCAAAGTCTGAATGCTCGAGTTTGGGAATACTGTACTTGGCAAGACCCCCTACTACATCTCCACATGAAAAATGATGAAAACCACATCAAAACAATAATAAAAAAAAGAGCTTTCTGACTTAGTAGAGGGAACCTCAGTGATGAAGATGGTTTTTAAAACCTTCTGTGCTCACTGAATGGATTGCTAAAAGGCAGCACAAAATATATTGGAACAACTATTCTTCTTCTTCTTCTTAACAGGATATTAGGAAAATCTGTCTCACTAGGAGGGTAGTAAAACACTGGAGCAGGTCACCCAGAGAGGTGGTGGAAGCTCCATTCTTGGAGGCTTTTCAAACCCAGCTAGACAAAACCTCAGCTGGGATGATCTAGTTGGGGCTGGTCCTGCTTTGAGCGGGGGGCTGAACTAGATGTGACCTCCTGAGGTCCTGTCCAGCCCTCATCATCTATGATTCTACAACTATAAGAAATGTTTCTATGTTTAAGAAATCTCAGCCACCAAGACATACAAGTCAAGACAATGAGACGTTCTCTCCTCATTTCAGGTACATTACCTTTTGCTCTGCAGCTAGCAGTTCTGTTAGCAAACCTTACTGCTTACTTCTGCTACGCTGTTCTGTTTCCCAACCCACAGGCATAGAAGCTGCTTAAAACAAAGTGCATTTTATTAACTTTACTTCTTAATGAGGAAAAAAAACCCCTGGGACAACCATTAAAGTATAAAGATGCTGAAGAAGAAAGACAAAGAAGAACTAAGGCCCACCAGTATCTGGCGGGCTCACCCACTGGAGGATGCTTACAGGGAAGGCACAAACCCTGACAACACCCTTGAGGAGCAACACAACAACCGACTCCCTGCTAAAACACTGACAGGCATCTCTCAAACGCATGATTAGCTTAACCCTGTTGATATGTAACCCCAGTGAGGCATCCAGTCTACCTCTACAACCCCAAAGGACTGCTGCCACCCAAACAACTCATTTTCCTGTCTTGAAACCCAGTAACACGTCAAACACGGGTCCAAACACCCTACCCCTACTGTGTATCAAAGAGGAAACCTTTGAACTTGATGAAATCTAGGAAAGGACAGACATAAATAAACCTAGTGGAAGGGTGGACACAGGCAGCCAGGGTGTGCTCTGTAAATCATCTTTCTGTGCAGAAGAAGGCTTTGACGTCTGGAAACTCAGCACATGCCTTTCACATCAGCAAAAAAAGGGACCACAGAACCCACAGTGAGCATGAAACTAAACACTTGTGGACAGACAGCAGAGGCAGAAGGGCCCATTGAGGAGTAGGAAGAAATATAAATGCTTCCTACCCGCAGTTCAGCTGGCAGGGCGCAGTCTGCAAGTAGAGCCAGGTCCTCCTGGAGCCGGCAGTTACCTGGGGGCTCAATTGTCAGCACTTTCACACAGGTCCCTGGCTTGGAAGAGACTAGAAGAGGCAAAACAAAATAAAGAAAAAAAGGAAAATAAAAAAACAGAGAGGCCTACAAATTCCCAAAGGGCCCCCTCCAGATAAAAACTGGTCTCTGGGGAATGTTAGTCTTATTTGGCTTTTAGTTTCCACTACAACAGAAAAGTAACACACTCTCTCTCATACACACATGCATACACTTCCCAGTTGTGCTCAAGGCAGGAAGTACCATTTGGAGAGAGCAAGGATACAGATTCCATTGTTTCCCTCCTTAAATCTTCGCCCATCCCTCACCAGGAAGAGACCGGTTCCAGATTACAGTGAGGAAAAGGAGTTGACCACATGCCCACTTGGACCTCTTTGCAGGGACCCCAAGCTACTGACCTACACTTGAGAACTGCTCTGTAGAGGTTGCCTCCTGACTTATCCAGGGCCCTGTGACCTAACCCCCTTGGCTGCTGGAAGGGAGCTGGTTGTAGCCATGTTGGTCTAAGGACATAGGCAAACAAGGTTCTTTGGCTAAATCCAGTATCTTTTATTAGACCAACTAAAACAGTTGGAAAAATTCTTCTTTGCAAGCTTTCAGGTATAAACACCCTTCTTCAGGTAGAGGAAGCGTCTGCAGTTGTTTTGTGCTAGGAAAAGGGCAAAACAACTACATGAGCTTCGTCTGCCTGAAGAAGGGTGTTTGTACCCAAAAGCTTGTAAAGAAGACTTTTTCTAATTATTTTAGTTGGTCTAATAAAAGATACTGGATTTACGCAAAGAACCTTGTCTGCCTTGGCTGTTGGAGGCAGCCACAACTAATACTGGGAAATGTATCCCTGCTGCAGCTTGTCCATGCACACGACACGAGAAAGGAGGAAGAACTGGGGCTGTATAATTTAGAAAAGAAAAGACAAAAAATACAATTGTAAAAAGGATGGCCATCAATTGTTCTGTGTTCACTACATACAGGACAACAAATAATGGGCTTACATGGCCACAAGGGAGGTTTAGATTAGATATCAGGAAAAACTTTCTACCTCTGAGGGTGGTTAAATCTACAACAGATACCTCTGAGAGGCTGCAGAATCTGTCATTGCAAGTTTAAGTGCCAAACAGATGAACATCTATTTGGCTGCGATGGTTTGGAGAGAGATAACCCTGCCTTAAATAGGGGGTTGGACTAGATGACCTCTCTCGAGGCTGCTGCCAGGCTTATTTTTCCTCTGCTTCTCCAGCTGCTTTGCCACTTTAGGGGGAATTGTGTGTCGCAGTGATTGTTCCATCAGCAAGGACGACATACTCAAGTACTGCAACATCCCCAGGGCAGAGGAGGAAATGTTTAAAATTGAGATCCATGCGTACATTACTGCGTACCCTCACTGTTGCCAACCTAGTCCTTCCCCCCTGTGCCCAATTATACCCCTCATTTGCAGTGGTGGGTCCACCATGGACTGGGTACTCTCTGAGGCACAAATTTTGAGTGGTTTTTGGTGCTCCAGAAGTATCTGAAGAGTGTGTGGTACAGTTGGGGAACGGACACTGTTGGGAACAAAGGGAAAAAGCACACCAACTCTCAGGAATTAAAGAGTTAGTCGCTGCAACACTTCATTAGGGTGTTGTTTTTCCTGACAAGAATGACTCATTGCTTTAAAACCCCCCTCTCTTCAGGTGAATCACATCACCTTGAGACTTCATTTTTCCTGACATTTTGCTCATTGTTACATGAGCTCCATCAGATGACTCCATCGGGTGGTGGGCGAAACAAGACCGAGATGTGCCACAGAACAAATCCTCCGCCCCCTCCCCTGCAGCAGCACATCAGCCAGCAGAGATGCCACCATGACACCTCTCCTGGTTGAACAGGTGCTGGGAACGGTGGGGTGCACAGAAGCCCTTGCTCGCTGATAGAAGGCACTACGGGGCTGGCAATGTGTGTGCACATCTGCGTGCTGGAAAAGGACCAGTGCTGATCCTCCTGACTGCGCTAAGTGCTGATGCGGTTCCATTCCCCAGACCACTAACCCCATGACGAGAACCGGCAGGCATGGCAGTGCCCAAAGGAAAAACACCACAGCTCTTAGGAAGGGTCTTGTCATCTTACCAGACAGCTTAAATAGTCAAGAACAAGGGCTCTGTTTTCTCTCAGATGCATCTTCACTGCACAGTAAATTCTGCATGAAGCTGCGTTTTAGCCATTTATGCATGGAATCGAAGGACATAACAGCCTCAGAAAGCCAAGGACTAGACATAGTGACCCAGGAGATCCACTCCAGTGCTAACATGCTGCTCCTAAACATCTTCCCATCCACACAAAACCCATCTCCTAAGGTTAGTGGGATTTTTAGACACACAGCTGCCTGGCTCACCTGAAACCATAGGCTTATTCATAGATTGTAAGGGGCTGGAAGGGACCTTGCAAGATTATAGGGTCCAGCCCCCCTGCATTAGGTAGGAAAGACGACTGGGAGTCAGGTGACCCTAATGAGGTGACCGTCCTGTCACCTCTTAAAGATTTCCAGGATAGGTGATTGCACCACCTCTTATTATTTGGCTGTCCACTTGGGCAAAGGAGTGGTTTCCCACAGTTCACTGCAAAAGACCCCAAGCAGCCTAGTTTACTTCAATGAACCGTGAGATATGCTCCCCCACATCCTAGCAACAAACACAAGGGAGTACAGCACCACTGAGGACATAGTAACTCATGAGTAGCTTTGCAGTATGGCTGCTCACATCTGGCATAAGTTAGTCTGAGTGTCAATCAGCTGGGTTACCTCTGCAAAGACATATTCTTAGTCAAGATTTCTACCCCTGTGCTACACAAGGAACCATGGTAATCATGGACTACGGTGCCTCTCAGCAAAAAATCCCACAGCAGTTTGCAAACATTAACCCCAAGTGAAAGAGGCCTCATCTAGGCTGGGATAAAGAGACACTAGGACCTGTGCACGTTTTAATCCTGGAGAGTGCTTTGTGCTAATTTAAAGCACCCATCGTACATGGAATCACTCAGAAGAATGACTTTAGGCATGTCAGTCTAGCAATCAACAGACGTCTGGGAGAAGTAAGAAAGATTAAAAGAACATATATAGAAAACCTTGATCTAAAGATCTACTCAACCTGGCAAGCTCAGACACCACGGTGAAGGACACAATGTAAAAGCAGACAGGTGGAATCAGGTAACACTTTCATCAGACACAAAGGACGCATGCACCATGTTATGGCGAAGACCCACAGGGAAATATGGCAGACTGAAGGGCAGGGATTCTCAAAATGGGCTCTGCACAGGATCGCTGTGCTTTCAAAAGACCAGCAAGAGCATCTCACGATGCCCACACCAGCGGTAGTGCTATTTAGACTGTATCTATAAACCTATTCAGACACTGTGCATAGCACATTCAAGGGTGTGACATTTTGGTAAGTCTCTTCTTTATTTATTTTTATACACATAAAGCGTGAATTTCTTGTTGAGAGGATACAAGGGATAAAGATGACACAAACACAATCTAAGCTGTTGGTAGCAAGCAGAAGGTCCGTTGTCTGATGTTTGAGAAGTGCAAGAAATGAAAGGAATTCAGGAAACAGCAATACAACCAAAAAAACCAAGAGCTGGAGGAACTAATTTGGAGAAGAAGATTAAAGAAAACATATTTGGGCATTACTTGGGTAAAGGAAAACACACTTTTGCAACTGTATAGTAAGCATAAGAACCAAGGAGGGACAGTACTAATTTAAGAGAGGCTAAAGAGTGTTATGAAATGAAAGAAAGATAGGCGTGGGTGGACTATCTGAAAGGGTCTCAAGATGCTCACAGAAACTAGACAGGGCAAAAGGACTACAGAATACTGTTCAGAATAATCTCACAGCAGCTGTATGGGATGGACAATTTAATCATGAGCCCCCTCCAGCTGGTACCACTCTGCAGCAGTATCCAGCACTATCCAATTCATCATCTGCTTGAGGCTTCACTGTTGTCCTTAATAATGTACCACTGGTTGAGCTGGGTTGAAAAAATCCTCTTCCAAGAGTATACATCCTCTTCTACAGTGCTGGAAGCAACTGCAACCACTGATCCCACCTCAGATGGTGCAGTGTGCGCTAACATGGGCGCAAAAAAGCTCATGAACATTTTTCTGTGAATACCTCCAATTCCAAGGATTAGGAGTTAATCTGCACAGATCCTGAGTTATTCCAAACTGCATAAGAGGTTTTCTGTAGTTATAAATTAGCATGCAGGAGGGAGGAAATATGCAAGTAATTATGCTTGGCCTACCTCAGCTGCAGTCCAACACATCAGATCAATTCCTGCTGCGTTTTTTCCAACTCCCTGCACAGTATCAAGATACTGAGTGCTTTGGAAATTCTGATTAGCTCTAGGTCATGAGATCAGAAAGAGGTGCCTGCCATGCAGTTGTGCACTAAAACTACACTGGAGGGCACATTACTGCTTGTATTCATCGTGTTGCATTGTCATAATATGGCTAGTGAGACTTGACCCCCACCAGCACAACTGGGCCAGATGTTTATTCTACAGAAAATAGTCTCACTCAGTAAAGAGCCCCCAGCACACCAGAGGGACCAATAATGATTTGGCCAGTACTGAAAGTGACTCAGGAGATCTTTTCCAGATCTTAATTTTTATGACTCTTTAATATTTAATCTTTCTTGGGATTCAATAATCGTTTCTGTGGCTCACATAAAGGGTCAGGTGAGAGAACCAAATGTTTCACAGAACGCTCAACAGCTCTTTCAATCTGATCCTGGCATACACCATCACCACCTCACATGTCTCTTGACTCCTGATTTAAGCCCTACAGCCTGGGTAATGAACAGTTAGAGGTCCCATCCTGCTGATGAGAACAAATGAGTTAAAGTCACCTGTCCAAGGCCACCTCAGAAGTTGTTGCCAGGAGTGGGATTAGAACCCATGTCCAATCCTTAATCCAACACAAATCTTTGAGATACAGTTGCTGCTCCCTGACCCCACTGTGTCTGGGCATCTCAGCTTGTACCTGCAATAATTTCTTTTCTCTCCATCCCGGGCTGCCTGGGCAGAAGCTGCCAGCTATACTCTGCAACAGTTTCAGAACAGGCAGGGATGTCAATTAGCAGACCACCCTTGATTTTACTTGCTAACTAATAAGGTATCTTCACTTGTGCTTCTGGAGTGGAAAGGTCACTGCATCAATAAAGCAGCTCTCCAGGAAGCTGATCTCTAGCAGAAACACTGGTGGCAAAGATGCTACAAAACATAACATTGTTCTGGTTGCCCAATTGACTGTTTTAGTCCCTTTTTTCACTGATATTGACTACTCTAGTGATCCTCAACCAGGGAGATGCAGCACCCTGGAGTGATACAAGATCCTTTTAGGCATGCCATGTAATATTAACACTATTAGGTGTGCAAACTCCTACATGGTTCACAAGATAAACCTAGAGATTTCAAATGGGAATCCACAGTGTCAAAAACATTCTGACCTGTTATGATTAGAGTTCTTTGCAACACAAAAATTGCTCTGTTATATTTCCATAGTCAAAAAAAATCAAGCAAAAGCAAAAAGCTGGCATTTTCCAAGGGGTGACTCAAGTCTAACAGAGTTGAGAACCACCGGACTACCCCTTTCCCAGCAGAAAATGTTCTTGTGAAGTTTGTAACAAGCAACAGAGCAATTTGTTTTCTACATATGTAGATGCATGAGTATACTAACGCTTACAGCACCAGAAAAAAAAAAAGGGTTTTAAAACACAACTCATTATCTTAGGACCTCTAGTAGATAATTTTAGAGCACAAAATCTAAATCCACCATTAAGATTCAGGCAAAGCAAAACACTAGAGCAGATATAGCTGCCATCTGATGAAAGAAGCACATAACAAAGAAGCTATGAGCCAGATTCTTCCCTCTCCCCAGTGGCAGCTGCACCGAAGGCAAAGGATGCACCAAGTGAGGGTGAGCAGAGCACGTAGCCCCATGCATTCTCAAGCTGCAGGTTTGCTTACTGCTTAACGCATTTGCCAAGTTGCTATATCTGAAATGAGGTCATTTTTCAATTCACTTCACACTGCCATATTTGTCCTGTCTGATCATTTTCTATGCTTCATTTAGTTCCAGCAATGAAGATGGACTGTTAACCAAGGTGTACACATAGCTGGAAGACCAGCATGCCCCCTGCTGGTTCTCACCCAATAACCCAATGAGACTGAACACTCAGAAAAACATTCAAAAACCAGGCAGCTGCTTGTAGCAAGTTGTTTTTAAAAACACATGGAAATATTTCCTATCTTAAGGTCATGTGTGCATGGATTATATGCAACGAAAAGAAGAGAACATATAAATATTTTTGCATCCATCTCCACACACAAAAATTGAATTTTGAGCTTAAGTTATCCGACTTTTCCACTGAACACACACACAAAGCATTGCAACTCTCCACCAACCTACATGGCACACAAGTTACCCCTTACAGAGCCTCTATCTAAAAATCTGTCCTTACAATAGTAATTCTATGTATCATTCACAACAAACGCTCATACCCCCATGTGCTCCAGGTGCACAGTGGGTATAACATCACTTGTCAAGCTTCCCTCTTCCTCCCAAAAATGAAACACACAGAAGGCAGCAGTCAGAAAAGGAGCTCACCAAATTCATAGACCTTTTTACACTTGGTCTCCAAATCTTCAATGAGATCCTGCAGCCGACACTGCTTGGCCAGTCTCTTGCAGTCATTCACATATTCAACGTCAAGGTCTAGTCCACCTGCCGAACAGCAATATATAGTTACTATCAGTGAACTCCTTTGCCTCACGCCAGTCACCATTTACACACTTATACATAAGAACAGCCTATGTAGAGAGACTGCCTGGATCAACAAACTGATCACATACTCTCAGCTCTGGACCACCGGCTTGAATTGAGCCCAGGCACATAAGACTCAGCATTAGCTGCTGACTGCTAAGTGACCAATACAAGCCAGGTTGGGCTATTCTTAATTCAGTACCAAGGACAAGTGCCCATAACCCCTGGTTGCTAATCCCAGCAGAGAAACTCAGTAGGTCTTGGATGCCAACTTCCAGTTTCATGGGTGACAATGGATGCTTTCCTGAGCAGAGTTGTGGGGCAGTACTGTTGCTGCCATAATCTATTGGTCTGTGGGTGAGATAGGAGTCCTGGTCTCATGCACTTTCATCAGCATTCAATTTACTTAAACTAACCCTAACGAGATAAACCACATTTCCAGGGGAAAAAACCCAGTGCCCTAGAAATATTTCGGATACAGCATATATCAATTTAGCCTGGAGCACCACCCCCTGGCCTGAGGGAGTACTACATTACACTGCCTAGAACAGCATTTCTCAACTTGCAGGTTGCGACCAAAAAGTGGGTCACAAAGATATATGAAAGGGTTGTGAACAAACTTTAAAAATGGATCAACTAATTTGAACAATGGATTTCCCTTTAAAGGAGAAAAATGTGGAAAATTGTGGCTTTTCCCTTGCAGACTGGCAGAGTTCCAGCCTGCAAGGGGCTGCTTGGGCGCCCCCCATGCCCACACACCTCCCCTGCCCCGCACACTGCGGGGTTGGGGGCAGAGGGGCAGTAGCTTGGGAGTGAGGGGCACTGGGTCATGACCGGCCATCAATGTTTCCAAATGGGTCCTGGTAGAAAAAAGGTTGAGAACCACTGGTTTAGAATACAGAATGTTGTATACTCGGTAATGGCCATATAATAGCCTCAAGGTTTAAGAACAAATTCTGCTGAGGAAAGACCTTAACAGATAACAGTCAAATCATTCAGCAACCTGCAACAGGCAGGTTTCCCAACTCGGAAATTCCTGCAGAGAACTTGGCTGTTCCTCAGGTTTAAGAAATCACCAGCCTCCATCGGAGACATTATTTCTGAAACTAGTTCAGGTGTGCTTCTCTGCAGCTGTCCACTCTGCCACACTTGACTTTTAGTGACTCCTCAGTTACTGGCAGGCCAACGACAGCCAGGAAGTAGGAGCATGCCCGTTACACCAGCTTGGACAGATAGGGAGAGTGCAAGTGCTCTGCCAGCTGAGAGACGGTATTGATGACACTCCCAGCCAAACAAGCTCATCTGCAACCCTTTGCCGCTCAATCAGTGCCTTGGTAGAGAGATGCCAACTACTCCACTCCAATACGTACATGTACACATACACAGCAAGCAACAGTGACTTACCTGTGTACAGATACTGCAGGAGAGATCCAAAGGCTGCTGGGTTGATCTAAAATAGGATGTGAAAAAGGTCACCCATGAAAAGCATGTGCATGTTACACAAGCAGCTTGGCACATTAAAATGAATTTCTAGCCATACCAACCAGATGGTGTTAAGGTAAAGGCCAGGGGGATCCAGCTCCAGAAAAGGACTCTAGAAAGCACAGGAGAGAAGAGGGGATGCCCACTTTGTAAAGTTCCACCCACTGGAGTAAAAGTGGTTTTACTACAAAAGTTTTTTCCCTGCTTCCTATGTAGCAAGTGTGTAAATCATGGCTCTTTTAGTGCATTACTTAGCATCCATTTTATTCCACTCCACCTTGAACTACAGGCCCAAGCAACAACATCTAGTGCAAGCAAAGACACTGAGCCTGCATTGTGGTTGTGTGCATAAGTGCATGCATGGGTGTGTAGGCAAACAACAGCACTTCACTACTGTGGAGTACCGGGGGAGAAGCACTGAGTCACCCACTGGTCTCCATGTCCAAGCCTGGGTCCCCAAAAGAAGAGGAACTAAAAGTTACAGCATAAAAAGCAACAAGGCTGGAAGTTGCTTAAAATTAAGAGAGCTTTCTGAGAAAGAGGAAGCATGTTTGCAGCCACGGAGTATCTGAGGTTTCACACAAACAACTGAACCACAGAACACAGGCTACAGAGTGTTGGTAAATGATGTAAGAAAGACGACTTTGACTTCCACATTAAAGCAGCAAGGGAGAACCAATTATAGTAGTGATTTCTATGATAGAAGCCACCCATCTGCTGGGAATTAGACAAAGGCCTAATTCACTTCATATAACAGTTCTCTAACAGCTGGCAGAGGGTGACAGCTCTCAGTCGCAGCTACTGTCCTGAGCTGCATTTGAACCACAAGAGGGGCGACAGGAGAGGAATCTGACCGTACAGGGTCTACACCTTTGTTATCTTTGAGAAAGGGGCAATGTAGATGAAAGAAGCAACTGATCCCTCTCCCTCAGGGCTGCATCTGGAACAGTTCTGCCTGACATGGTATCAGCAAGTGAAGTTACCCCTCAAACTCATGTTCCCCAAGGAGAAAATAGCCCACAAGTGGTTCTCCTTACCAGCGGGTGCTTTAGCGCGATCATGTTCTTCCCTTTCCACTTAGTTTCGAACATTTCAGCAAAGTAGGCGCTACGGGCACTGAGGATGCAACGATGGGCACAGAAAGATTTCCCATGCACAATGAAGACAATGTCACTCTGGTAACCCTGCTCCAGGAGCCTGCAGGAGAAACAGTGGGAGATGGGAGTGAGGGGTGGGGAAGGGGAATGAAATCACATGTTAGGGCAGCCACAGAATGAGGAAGAAGAGTCCAAAGAGAAGCCAAGAAGGTGAAGGATGAGCTTGTGGACACAGAGTTAAAAGGCAATTCATAAACAGCTCGTTCCTTAAAAACGATTCCACAGGATACAAGAAAAGTTGACATTGATGGCTGCTATCATCGAAGAGCCTCACACCCTATAGTGTCTCCTATCCTCCTAATGCCCTCAGGAAGTACAAAATTGCTGCATTTTCCACTTTACAGACAGGGACTGAGACAGAGAAACAAAGTGACTTGCTCAACGTCAGGTCAAAGCTTATGCAGAGAAGCCTCCTGAACCCCGGTTTATTATGCCCTATGCTAGCATCCTACTCACCAGACTGTTCCTTCATCTAATGCCTCTCCTAAGGAGAAACCAACATTTTGTTTCCAAAAATCTCTCTTTTTCCTCTCAGTGCCATGTATTATGTTTGTTAGCTCTGTTTGGAAAATGAAAGTGGACAACAGCCAGCTGCACTCTGGTTCCTCTGCATGAGGTTGACATTGCACCATCTGTGTTGCAAATGGTGCAGGGAAATCCACCTTGTAAAAGGCTACTTGCTTAACAATGCTTTGCTATGCACAAACAACCAGGCTATCCGACCCTCTGTCCTGCACCCCCACCCCCAATACCTCACTTCCTTAGAAACGGTCACTTCATAATACGGAGGGTAAGTCTCTACTTCCAATTACAGCCACGTATTTCCAGATTTCGTAGATACCAACTTGGTTTCACGGTGGATTATCAAGTTGTTTTAGG